TTCATACAGTCAATGAGATTGATTCATTTACTGCTGATACATAAAAGACTACTGATTCATGCAGAGCCGTTTGACAAAGAGCGCGTGAATTCGAACTGTGAAAATGCAGTGAATGACTGCCGAAGATTAAGAAACCGACTATTAACACATCAGTGCATACAATACAGTTACATCCACACACACACACACACGCTAAATAATCGTCAAATAAGATTACGTATCACATTTTGAGTATAATATTGTATATGATGGATATCACTAACAGATATACAATATGTATCTATTTTACAACACATAATACATACGAATATATTTAAATGCAATGAGATTTTGTTGCAGTATGTATTAGATTAAGAATATGAATGATGCACATTCATATCAATGAACGTGAATAACACATATACATTATGTATTCTATTATGTGAGCAGATAAAAGAAGGAAGAGATGTACGACGAAACGAAATAAATGCCAAGTGAACGAATACGTCTGTGCATTAGCTGAAGCTGTACTTAACCGAATCTGCTGTTGCTGTTGCTGCTTGCCTGCGTGAAGCATTCGCTGTCTATTGATAGTAGCTAGTGGTATGAAGCAATAACAATCTGAACGATCTATATATGCATACCACATACTTGCGGCTTTGTCTTATCGACTAAACATCACCGGCATCACCATACCCAAATCAAATCACATAGCATATATGGATGGACGCGAATATCGGGGATGAATGAGATATAATGTTGTTTTTTTTTAGATTCATCATATGACACAAGTAAAGTGGATATGAAAGGTTGTAATTGATAGATGACAGATTGAATGAGTTTGAACGCTATTCTCTTCATCGAGTCAACAACACTCAACGACAAGGAAGCAAACGAAGAGAAAGTGCATGAAGCGATGTGAAGATTATGTTATGTTCTTAGTGCTGCTGATTGAAGAAGAAGAAACGCGTAGAGTGGGTCAAAGAGTCACATCAAATACTGATTTTTAAATCGTTCTTGCAGTAATCATTATCAGATCAAGATGACACCTGTACGAATATTATAGTGCATACACGATCGTCAACCACTCCCATCAACTGCACTTTTCATAAATCATTCTGTCGTGCGCTTTTCAAGCTCTCACCTCTTATTAATTATTCCATTCCGTACTCTTCCAAGCCTTCAATCTTCAGAGAATCAATCAGCTTATAGCGGCGCACCGTTTGATCCGTTGACGTGCTCTACGACTTACTTTTTTATTTCGTGATTATTAAATGAAGTGGAACAATACAGGAACAGAATGGCTTGTGTGATTGGTACAACGACGAACGTAGTAACAATTAACAAAAATAGAACTACTCAATAACATCTTAACAAACTATTCATTCTAACGGTTGACATTCAGAACGAAGCATTTTGTCATTGTCAACGATGTCGTTTTTTACACCCATCTCGATTTCCATTGTTTCGTGTTTTTGTTCAACTCTATTTTTATCTCATGTTTTTTCTTTCTTTTCCTCTCAAATTTTCCTCAACGTGTCAGTTTTTGGTGTTAAGCCTTTGCGGAATAAAACCTACACATATAACACTACAGAAATGTTCAACAACTAATTTGTTCTGATTGAATTTAAATCGATTTCCTAGATCTACAAAATAAATTCGTCATCTACACTCAATATCGCGTCATAACAAATTTACCGATGAGCATTCCTGAAGATCTACTCGATCTAATATGAAAACCAGCAAATAACCACATGCAAATGCGATTTACCTTCGCATCTGGTCGTTTTCGCACATAAACACAACAAACGATGGAATTTCGAACATGAAACAAAAACAATTCTACTGAAAAATTGAAAGAGTTGAATTCAAAAACAAATCACCGTGTGATATTCATCGAAAATTTTGAGCAACAAAATGAAAAAAAAATGAATTTCACACATTCGATGCAGCCCAACTCCGCTCATTATCTCTCAATCGAATCGAATAAAAATCCGACATCAACGCTTCAGTGGTTTCATGTGGTGATGCCGTTCGAATGTCACACACTTTTTGTCGACGATAAAAATCAAAAACAAATTCTTCAATGAATCATAATTTACAAAGGAAATCAATCAGCAAGAAATTGAGAAGCATGTGTCGATAACATAATCCGCAGGAGAGTGGAGGCGATAAAATGAGAAAAGAGCGCCATGAAGACAGAGACGACCAGCGAGAAACGTGTGAAGAGTGGGGCAAAAGCGAAACGACGGAACGACGGAAGGAAGGAACACTTTGACGGATTAAAATTGCAAATGATGAAATAAGCGATGATAATCACCGAGTTGATGCATTCATTTCCTGATGCACACAAACTCTCGTCAATTATCATGCCAAGAGCATCATCATTTCGTTCGTTGGAGAGGACAATAAAGTTTTGAAAGTTTTTTTTTTTTTAAATCTTCACGAATAAAACTTCAAAATTTCGTTCGCTATTTTATTTCGGCAACGATTTTCATCGTTACAAATTATTTCGAAATAATCACGAAAACGTTGACAAAAACGTTTTGATGACATACCAATCGAACGAAGTGTCTGCAATCGAACGCCGAAATGAATGCGTGTGATTTGATGATGCAGATGAGAGAAACTGCAAATTTATGCGTTCAAAAAGCGACGACTAGCACTCATTTGTAGTTGAAGTTAATCGCAGAGCAAACACAGCAAAACGAATACGGCTAACAATTGGCTTGTGTGCATCTGACCATATGCACAGCAATCAGATATAAATATAGTTCGTATCTACCAATAACAGGCCATCCGTCGGTTTTTTTTTGTGTACGTACTGCAGAACAATGCCTTTTACAATAAAGAAGCGATGAAAGAAAACGAACGGAATTATACGCCTAAAATTGACGATTCAGCAAAGGCAAAAAATAAAAAATGAAGAAGTGACGAATAGAATTTGTTAGAGTGTGTCATATTTAGTTTAAACGCTATTCATTCAATTGACAAAGCACAATACAAATAAACCTTTAATGAAATGGTAGTCAACTTTTTGAAATATTCTTTTTTGAAGTATTTTCAGATTTTTCTTTCAGTTAACAAACAATAAGAGTGCACAACAAAAATGAAAAACAAAAACGAAACGGTGATGGCAAAGAAATGAATTGAAACAATAATTTAAAAATTGAAATAATAATTGAAATCAGAAATGAGGCTCAACAGAAGTATGATTATTGTTGTTATTATTTATAATTTGATGTCATAGAATAAATCAACATAAAGATCCGCACAGATGCAAGAACAATTGCAGAGCACCTGCTCATTCCCTGAAGCAATTCTGCGGAGAGCCGTTCTGCTATGGAACTGCTCATTTGTCAATGCATAATTACTTCGAAAAATGTCAACATCTGTGGTTATAAAGTAAATGTGACCAAAAGAGTACATTCACTCTACTTTCCAACACAACAATGACAACGGTAACCCCAATATTAATGATAATAGCAATAATAATATCAAAAATATTTCCAACGATAACAAACCAAATAATAGTTACTTGACTGGTTAAACGTGATGAAATTTCAGCTGCATACATCTCAATGAGACGAATATCAACAGAACGAATTCTGCCTACATTCACGTCTTATACTCTCAGATGCACACTAAAATGTGTACATAATTAAATCTGGCCATTATATAAAAGGACAAAAGAGAAACGAAATAAAGGAATTCTATGGGAAGGAAGGAACAACGAGATCATAAAATGAATGAGATAATAAAAAGAAGTGATGATGGCAGTATGGTACAAGTGCAAATGAAGGATATTTGTCAGTTGTTTTATTTCGATAATTATACGGATATTGCATTGTATTATATTGTAATGAACATAAAATCGTGTGAAAGAAGATCGATGAGATCATTGGAAGCGTTCGATAAAGGGAGGGCGGAATGTCAATTTCAAATCGAAATCTTTCTGATGGAATCCAAATAATTCATTCGCATTTCCAACAATACGAAATCCGAAGCGGAACAATTGCTCTAATATCAAAAGTTTTTAACTGAAGACCCAACTAGCAGTGGGCGATCTCAGATGTTTGAATGAATATTTCATCTCAGTTCCGTAATTCACATCAATTATTCGCAGGGTTTTCTTATTGTTTATTGATGCGTAAAAGGAGCAAAAATTCAACTAATATCCGAATATAATCGGCAACTTAATCACAATGTTGTGAAATAAATATGGTGAATGACTCAGAGGTATGAAAAAATAAAACGGAGAAAAAAAAGAACGAAAAATAAAACACGAAGAATTTTCAAGACAGCTGCATCATTAGTGCAAACGCGCTTCCTCAATCGACACCATCGATGAAACTGTGAACGAACACAAAAATAAACTGCACTCCACTATCGGATGGCTCTTTTTGAATGGAGCGCATTCGACTTTGAAAATAAAACCTTATCAGCTAACACATTGCACATAAAAATTTGAACATACTTATGGGCAAAATGATTTATTGCCACAGGTACGCAACTTATCATTATGAATCAATTTTTTTTAAAGTAATGCAGCGCCTTGATGTCGCAAACAATGACATAAAAATGACTGCTCAACGCACCCACACTAAAGATATTAGTAATGTGATGGGGAAAAC